CTTAATAACCTAATTTGGCAGTGTGAGCTAGAGCCAGTTTGCACAAATTCAAAAGAGCAAAGTGTGTACATCTGTTCACAACCCAGTTTGGAGTGATTTCACAATGACAGCTTGAAATCAGCCATGGTGGGAGTATTTACACCAGAGGAATTAGAAAACACTACAAATCAGGGATTCTCTCCTGGCCCCTTCCCCACACTGAGAGCTGGTGGTTAAATATTCATCAGTGTACCGCTAGGCTTAAGAAATTCACCTTCTTTAACATTTGGTATTTTAGTGCTTAAAACATTAAGAAACAGATGGCCCAATTCGATTATGAGGGAAGACTTAAGGTTAGAGTTAAAACTGAAACTAACGGCTTGTTATAGAGGTTCAGAAGGACTGACCGTACTGAGGAAATGAGAACTGATGATGCTTTGGCAACACAGTTCTACTCACACGCTTCTAAAAACAAAAAACAAAAAAAAAAAACTGTTGCTGGCGAGTTGATTCCAACTCACAGTTGACCCTACAGTACAGAGCAGAACTGCCCCATAGGGTTTCCAAGGAGCAGCTGGTGGATTTGAACTGCCGACCTTTTGGTTAACTGCCGAACCTTTTGGCCCCATTTGCTACATACAACCTCATGATTAATCACTCCACAGGAAAGGAAGAATATTAACTGTCTAAATGTTTTGTTATACATATGTTTCTAGGATCTTATTCCAGAGGCAATTTAAATTGAGAGGGTGCTCTAATTATGCTCTCAACCAGGGTCAGAGACATATATTTATCTATTACTAGTCACTGGGAAAGTAATTTCCCTTAGCAAAATGCTAAGATAATTCTATAAAAATTTAAGTCAGTTGGCAATGCTAATAACAATGGGTCATTTGACTTCAAAGTTTAATGAACAAATACAGTCTACATAAATTCTCTTGTTATGGTAAACACGTTCGTTATCTCTAAGTCAATAAAATACTGGTCTTTATTTTCAAATCCAAAGAGTGAAATGAGCAAGATAAAGGCTGAGACAAGTTTCAGCATGGTTTATAAAATAAGGAATAGGCAAACCTGGGTTTACTGTCTGTTCTGAGAATTTCCTAAAACAGGTTTCCATAAGCCAAATCCAGCCTGCTCCTTGTTTTTGTACAGCCTGTGAGCTAAGAATGGTTTTTACAGTTTTTTAATGGCTGAAAAAACATTAAATCAAAAGAAGAGAACTATTTTCTGACATGTGAAATTCAACTTTCAGTATCCATAAATAAAGTACTATTGGCACATAGCCATACTCATCCATTCACATCTTGTCTATGGTTACTTTCACACTACAATGGCAGAGTTGAGTAGTTGCAACAGAGACCTATGTGGCGCTTTCACGATTTTGCACTGCTGCTTGACACATTACAAATTACACTGATATAGTTACAACTCAACAACATCTGGAGTGCCACGCATATCACCATACCACAATATTTTATATTTTTATCACCAATGCATACCTATAATGTCAAAACAAGTAGAAAAAATATAGACTTCAAATGTTATGCTTTTAAGTCACAGTGGAATATGGATTATTTTGTTATTGAATTAAATGACAAAGCATTATGTTTAACATGCAATGACACTGTTGTTGTTGTCAGTTACCCTCAAGAGTCAATTCCAACTCATGGAGACCCCACTGCTGTTCTAAAATAATAATATACTGTATTTTTACTCAAATAAGGTGTGCCTTTTATGTTTGTTTGCCAACTGCACCCTCCCTCAGAGAGGTATTTACGTGCCACTGTGCCAATTTTTTTACATGCTGCTATAAAAAAAATTAGCATAGCACGCTTATGAAAATATCACATGGAGGGAGGGTGTGGTTGGCAAATGTAGAAGGCATGTATTATTTGCATAAAAATACGGTATATGTTAAAATTACCAGACTAAGCACTCATCACTATATTCTTAATTCACAGGAATGGAGCGGCCAGAAAAATTAGAAAATTTAAACCAATATATCTCATTACAGCAGAATTTCTTTACAAAAATGAAAATAAAGTTGAGGCCAAAGCAAGTTTCTAAGTGGCTCATTTGTTAGCCAAGCAAGGAAAAGCCTTTTACCGATGATGAGTTAATTGCGTTTGATTGCAGCAGCTGAAGAAATGTGTCCAGAGTAAACAAACTTGTTTAAGACTATTAGCCATTTGGCAAGAATAGTTGCTTGAAGAATTGAGAGCACTGAGAACAACATCAATATTCAATAAAAAACAAGGCAAATGATTTTGAGTGGTTTTCCTTGGCTCTTGTGAGTCAACAGATGTTACTGATACTGCTCAGCAGTTGTTTATCTGATGAGTCAATGCCGAATTTGAAGTGACTGCAGAGTTAGCCTCTGTTAAGTAGTCTGTGTGGAACAATAAAAGGTGAGAATACTTTCTAAGAAGTAGAGAAAACATGATTTTAGTACAACCTGAAGTAGAATCTGCTAAGATGTGTTACAACTGTTACAACTGATAGTGGCAAAAATATGTGCAGAACAACAACAAAACTTTTAGTTGGTCAAATTTATAAAGCTTGTAAAAATGTAAGGTATTTAAGCCTATGGTTATTTTCTGTATTATTCATCAGCAGGTACTTTGCAGAATATATTTGACTCGATCTTGTGTTACTGAACCAGTAATGTCAACAGGGAACTTCATTTGCTATCATCAATTCCATTATCTTTTGTCAGATATAGAAGCTGAATGTCTGGATTTGCCCTACCAGAGAGCGGGTTCGTTGGTCAAGCAGTGGTAGTTTTATTGTGATTTTTTTTTAGCTCAAGGCCAATATTCAAAATTTTCTGAATGAGAAGAAGTGCTCTGAGCCACTACTACCAAACACTGAACAGCTCTGGAAACTTTTGCTACAGGCTTGATCATCTTTTGTAGTGAATTCAACCAAAACTTACAAGGCAAAACGTGTTTACATGTGAAACACACTTAAGTTTGAATCACAAGTTTAACATCAGGTTGCTTTATACACGTCCTATGCTATTGAAACGTGAAACAAGATAGCCACTCCCACATAAATTTGCAGCAGATATATTTTCTGAGCTTAAACTACAGTTACAGCAGCAGTTTTTGGAACCTTGAAACAAGTGCAAAAGAAATTTCCATTTTTCGAAATCCACTTAACCTTGCAATTGAGGAGCTTCCACCTGACCTTCAACTGGAAGTGAAAATCTGCAATGTAATAACATGCTAAAAAACGGGAAAAATTCAAAGAAAGAAATCTTATAAAATTCTATCAATCCCTTCCAAGTGATGAACATGCTCAATTGAAATCATATTCTTGTAGATTAATATACACATTTGGCAATACCTTATCAGTAAGAAAGGAGCCCTGGTGGCACAGTGGTTAAGAGCTTGGCTGCTAACCAAAGGTCAGCAGTCTGAATCCACCAGCTACTCTCTGGAAACCCTATGGGGCAGTTCTACTCTGTATAGGGTCACTATGAGTTGAAATTGACTCAATGGCAATGGATTTTTTTGGTTTTTTCATTATTAGAGGAGCAAAAATTGTTCTCAATGATTATTATTATATTTTCAATTTTGTCAATAAAAATTTGTGGCAATTTGTTTTCTTTCTATTTATACAACTATGTAATATCCTAAATATTCTTCCTGTCAGCCTGCACAGCCTAAAATATTTACTACCTGGTCCTTCAGAGAAAAAAAGTTCACTGACCTCTCTGCTCTAGAACCAAAGCCACCCTGGATACTTAAAAAATAGACTGGATGCACTGCCTTTAAAGTCAGATCACCTCAGTTACTGGCAGCTATGTGTACATTTCTTAAACTTACTTTGCCTCAGTTTCCTCATCTGTAAATACAGGCAGTAATGGAGTCCCTGGGTAGTACAAATGGTTAAGTGCTGGATTACTAACCAAAAGGATGGCAGTTCAAACCCACCCAGAGACACCTCGAAAGACAGGCCTGTCAATCTGCTTCCAAAAGATCATAGCCTTGAAAACCTTATGGAGCAGTTCTACTCTGCACACATGAGGTGGCCATGAGTCGGAATCAACAATGGTAGTAAAAGCACCTAAAACAAAGTAAGCCTAGCACAAAGTAAGCATTAACTTACTGTTAGCTGCTATTTATGATAAAAGTACTATCTCACAGAGCTGACAGTCAACTTATGCATCTCATACTCCTAAAAGGTCCACTGAATAAGACAGCATTTAAATGTTTATACACATTCGTGGATGAAAAGAACATCTAAGTGCATAAAGATGACAATGAAGGACACTCAAGCCCTTTGCTAGTTACCGCTTGCTTCCTTCATCAAAGAGATGACAGGGTGGGGAATACCAGGGGTAAAGATTGTGATAATCTTTTAATATTTTAAATATCACAATATTACATTCTTTATATTAAACACAGTACTACTGGTAATAATTTATAACACATTTAAAAATTTGACATATTATATGGCTTAACTCAATAATATATTCTATTCATTCAATAAATATTTACTGAGTGCCTACTATTTGCCACATGGATAAATTCATTAGCTTAAAAACTTTGGGAGGAAAAAGCTTTCATATACATGTTGTTGAGAATGCCCTCAAAAACTGCCTACAGATACATTTTAACTGTGTTAATTTTTAGATTAAATGTGTTTTCTTAAAAAAAAGAACACATAAAACAAAAAATTCTAGAGTAGTGCTGTCCAATAGAACCTTCTGTGATAATAGAAATGTTCTACATCTGTGCTGTCCGATATGATAACCACTAACCTCATGTGACCACTGAACACCTGAGATGTGGCTAGTGCAACTGAGGAACTGAATTTTTAATTAAATTTCAGTTAATTAAAATAAAATAGCCACACATGGCTACTGTCTACTGTATTGGACAGCACAATTCTACAGGATCACTCTAGGGCATGTAGCTGTTGGACTGTAACATCTTGCCCCAAGTGGCAAAATGAATTTTGTTACACTACAAACTTAATATAAGTTTGCTATTCAAAATAGCCCTGCCTTTTCATGACACAAAATATCTTCTGTCTACTTCCTTAGTAGTAGAGCTAAATCAATTCACTATTTAACAAAACAATTTTTTTTTCCTATTGTAGCTGATTTTTAATCATTAAGGTACCAGGGGACAGAAGAAAATACATATAAATAAAATTCATGTTGAATTCAGAAGCCTTAAATCTTTCCCTCCAGCAAATTTTTAAGGCATCTATTTAACAGCTGGAAAACTATTTCATTTAGTAGTTTACCTTTTGTTCTTGATTATGCTCGTATTTTTATATTGGTATTAGCCAGTAGCGAAATAGATAAATCTATAGAAGTGAAAAAAATGAAACATTTTCAAGTTGAACAGTTATTGTAAAGTAATTCATGATTGAGTGTATTCTACCAAAAAAAATAAGTGTTTCATTTTTTATACCAGTTAAGTAATGAATTTAAGGAAGAATTGCAGAAACATTTTTTCTGTTTGTTGTTGATGGGTTTTAGATGATAAACAGATAGAGCACAATTCAACATAATCCAGTGCACTAAGCAGCAGCCTACTTTGGGTTGTTCTCTTGTACATTATAAGCTATATGACAATAAGCATTTGACACCAATACCACAATGGCAGAAAAAGCAAGTCGTTCCCCTTTTTCTTTGTTTCTGCCATAAATTCACTTAGAGTTTCTCTATGTACCTATTGTATCATTAAAGATATACTCTAAGACAGCCCTCTACTTAAAAAAAAAAGAGAAATACATACTTTGCGACAACAAATGCATCAGTTTAAAAAATAAGTCCCTTTCTCCAACCAGTTCTGACAATTTTGTACATATCAAACAAAACTCCAGCCACGTAATAAGAATAAATAAAATAATATTCTTCACATGGAAGTGTGAAAATTCATTTTATTTTTGCATAAATATCATACTTTATTGTTCAAAGTGTTCCTTTAAAAATAAGTTAAAATGTTTCCATATTACTTTTATTAAACATGTAATTATTGACTAAAGCATATTATCACTGATTAATATACAGTAAAAACATTATCAGCCACTCACATACTCTTGAAGTAAAGTGCTTGCCATATTTTGTAAAAACACGTTACTTGATTTAATGGACAATTTGATATTTTTCTTTAAAATCTTCAAATGTCTTGATTCCCACCACTATACAAACTAACCAAAGCAAAATAACAAAACCAATCCCAAAATAAAACCCTACAAAACCACATTAGTTTTATTACAGAACATATATTAAGTCACTGAGTAAAGCTCTTTTTTATGAACACTTTTGGAAAGCTAGCATTCAGTTCTAGCACAGCTCTGTTATCAATCTGTGAACAGAAGGACACATCAAGTAAGGAAAGATCTTTACAAGATTCCAGGAGTTTTCTTAAAGATGCCAGACTTACCATTCTTGTTCCTGTTTAAAAAAACAAAACAAAACTCCTTAAGTATACATTCATATAATGTCCTAATAAAGAGTTCCTTTATTATTTATTGGAGCCCTGGTGGCACAGTGGTTAAGTGTTTGGCTGCTAACCAAAAGGTCAGCAGTTCGAATCCACCAGCCGCTCCTTGGAAACCCTATGGGGCAGTTCTACTCTGTCCTATAGGGTTACTATGAGTTGGAATTGACTAGTCAGCAACGGGTTTGTTTTCTGTTTATTATTCAAAATACACTTCAAATAAATTCCCTTTTGGAAATTAAAAACTTTTTTTTTCTCAATAAAATACTTCCCACTGAAATGGTTTTGTAAACAAACAAAAAACACCTAAATTTTCCCAGCCAGTTTGGTATCTAGGACCTGAATCTTGTCAATACCTTACCCACTATCTTCATTCCTACATCTTACCCCTTCAAATCAGCTTCTCCAGACTTTCCTATTTGCATTAACCTATTCAAACTGTTTTCACATCTCATTTTCCTTAATCCATGGGTCAAATAAGACAGTAAGGCTTACAATGATTCAACCTCTAATTACGCTCAATGCAATTACGGAGCAACTGCCTTGTAGAAGCTTCTGTTTTAGGCACTGTAGACACAAAGATGAATAATACAGATGTCTGCCTTAAGGAACTCACTGACCAGAGCTGAAAGTAAATATCAACAATATAATTTGATGAGTTTTACAGTAGTGATGGGTATAAAATGATACTACTGGAAGACAGATGATGGATGATGAGTTCTGTTTAAACCAAAACCTGTTGCCGTTGTGTTGATTCCAATTCAGAGTGACCCTATGAGACAGAGAACTGCCCCACAGAATTTCCAAGGCTGTAATCTTTTTAAAACATATTTTTTATTTTTAAAATTCTGTTGTTGTTGTTGACAATATACACAGCAAAACATACACCAATTCAACAGTTTCTACATGTACCATTCAGTGACGGTGATTATATTCTTCGAGTTGTGCAACCATTCTCACCCTCTTTTTCTGAGTTGTTCCTCCCCCGTTAACATAAATTCACTGCCCCCTAAGGTTCCTATCTAATCTTTCGAGTTGCTGTTGTCATTTGATTCCATATAGATAGTTCTTAAAAGAAAGGCTGTAATCTTTACAGAAGCATACTGCCAAATATTTCTCCTGTGGAGTGGCTAGTGGGCTCAAACCACTGACCTTTTGGTTAGCAGCCTAGTGCTTAACCACTGCATCACCAGGGCTCCTTGAATTCTATTTAACTGTGTTACGTTTAAAGTGATCATGGAATATTCAGTTGGAAACTAAATTATATAAATATGTAAAGCACTTAATACATGGTAGGCACTTAATAAATACTAAATATTACCTTATTCTAAAGTGTCATTTGTTATAAAACATACCTTGCTCTAACCACGATTGTATTACATATACATATCAACCAGAAGGGACATTAAAAGTTCTGAAATGTCAATCTATGTCTTTTCCCCCTGAGAATTCCTCTCTACTCTCCTCTCTACCAAGGGCTCTAGAAGCTGTATCTGTACTGCTATCCTGGCTGTGACAGACAAACCAATCCAGACTTTCTTGGGAATTTAAGATTGGGACTCAGTGAAGCCTTCAGTGTCCACAGATTCCCTGAATGAAAGATGTATAAGGCTGGATTGTGGCTGTTATATTTGGCCGCGTACATCCAAAGAAGCAGTAGTGGCCAGAATGATGAGAAAAGCAGACATAAATATCTTTGTGAATATACAGCAGCAGAGGGTGGGGGTTAGGGTGGGGTGCTTGAACATGCAGGATAGAAAAAGGAATAAAAAAGAAAGCTTCCTTGCCTTTTGATGGTTTTCCAGTCTCTCCTGAAGCCTGACCATAGCTCCTATTCATGGGATCTAGGAGATACACCTGCATCTTCATTACATACACACACACTGGTATGTATTTTTTGTTTGTTTGTTTAAGTTATCTCAAGGGGGCTTCAGTTTTAGAAGATCAGAACTAGGTGTTTTTTCACCTAGGGTTGTGATCATGTTTTCTATTTGCCAGTCTTGCTCATTAGATTTTGAGTTTCCTGATACATTAGGAGTCCCCAAAACTTAAGAGAATGCCAGAGAAGGAAGTCAGGAGATTTAAAGTTAACTAGGCTAGGGTCCCCTGTCCTATGCTTCTAGACCATTGTGTGTTTTTATTTTGTTATCCACTTATCACACAGCTATGTTTTCAGAGTCAGCATGCTCCTTCAGGGCAGGAGCCATATATGTCTTGTTCACTATTGTATCTCCAGTGCTTAAAACAAACCTTGACACACTATATGCTCAATAAATGTGTAATGAATGAAAGAATGAAGAGATGGACGGTTAATTTCCCAAGACTATCATCCTGGTTTAGACCCTCATTACATGATTATTGCAGTTAATCTCTCTGATTTTGATCTCCTCCTTCTCCAATTCACCTGTTACTTTTTTCCAGATTAATATTCCTGGAACATGATTTTGAATCTATAACTCATTTTCCTAATTAAAATCCTATAATAGCTCTTCCTTATTTAATTTTGTACAGATTCCTCACTCTGGTATTCAAAACTCTCCATGAAAACCTCCATTATATTGCCTAAGTCAAATTAAACTGCTTATTCTCTGAAGATATTCTGTATTTTCAACTTCTATGCTTTTGTTTCATGCTATTCCTTTTGCATAAAATGCGTTCTGCTATTCACTTTTCAAGAATCTCTTTCAAATATTTGTTAACCCTTTAAATAAAGCTTTTCCTTATTTCTCTAATCATATAGGTTCTCTGTTTTCTCTGAGTCTCATTAAAATGGACTTGCCTCTGGCTTGCATTACAGCTATCTGTATATTTGTTTTACTCCTTCTTGTCATATTATAAACTCTGAAGGTACAGACTGTATCTTACTTAGCTTTATACTGAGGATCAATAAGTATTTTCAGTATGAAAAAGGTATACCACTTATCAGTCATATGTTCTAATCACAAAGTGACAAGTAAAATAATGACTATCATCTTGGCTTGACAAGAATCTTTAAAAAGGAGCAGGGGAGAGGGAAGGATTCTAATACTTACGGATGAAAGGAAACCAAAAATCAACAATAAAAATATTAAATAAAGAAATATAGCATAGTGGTTACGATCATAAACTGGTTCAAATCTAGATTCCACCATTATTAGTTGTGAGAACCTGAGCAAGTCACTTAACTTGTTTTGAGCCTCAGTTTCCTCATCTCTCGCTAAAATGATAACTACCTTATAAAGTTGTTATGAGAGTTAAATCAGTTAATATATGCTGAGAACAGTATATAACACAGTAAATTTTCTGTTTATTATTTATTAATAATTACTGATTACTATTGATATTCACTGTGCTCTTTATAGTTGAAATGTGAGGTTTCAATGTATTTGCACAACTGTCTTCCAATGATACATAGTTATGGTGTAATAGATAACGACACTGCCTTCCTCTTATGCTCATGAAAGTTACAAATATTTAAAAAAAAAAAAGTTGTTATCAAGACAAGGATGTCTGCTCTCACCACTTGTAGCCAATATTGTATTAGAAGTCCTAGCCAGAGCAATAAGACAAGAAAAAGAAATAAAAGGTATCCAGATTGGAAAAGAAAGAGTAAAATTATCTCTATTTGCAGATGACATGATCCTATATATACAAAATCCCAAAGAGCCTGCAAGAAAACTTCTAGAGCTAATAGAGGAATTTAGCAAAGTCACAGGGTACAACGTCAACAAACAAAAATCAGTTGGGTTTCTATACACCAGCAATGAGAAATCTGAAAGCGAAATTAGGGAAATGATTCCCTTTACAATAGCATCTAAGAGAATAAAATACCTAGGAATAAATCTAAGCAGGGATGTGCAAGACTTATACAAAGAAAATTATAAAACACTGCTAAAGAAATTAAAGAAGACTTAAATAAATGGAAAGATGTTCCGTGTTCATGGACTGGAAGACTTAATATTGTTAAGATGTCAATACTTCCCAAAACCATTTATAGATTCAATGCAATCCCGATTAAAATTTCAATAGTCTTCTTTACAGAAATGGAAAAACCAATCCTCAACTTTAAATGGAGTGGCAAGAGGTCCCAAATAGCTAAAGCAATGTTGAAAGAGAAGAACAAAGCACAAGGACTCACACTTTGTGATTTTAAAACATATTATACAGCTACAGTAATCAAAACAGCCTGGTGCCGGTATAACAAGACACACAGACCAATGGAATAGAACTCAGAGTCCAGAAATAAACCCACACATGTATGGTCAACTGATTTTTTACAAGGGTGCCAAGTCCATTCAATGGGGGAAAGAAGGGTTTCTTCAATAAATCGTGCTGGGAAAACTAGATTTCTACATGCAGGAAAATGAAACAGGATCAATACCTCACACCAAACATGAAAACCAATTCAAAACGGACTAAGGACCTAAACATGAAAACAAAAAACATAAAATTCTTAGAAGTAACTACAGGGGCAATGCTGTCAGGCCTAACGTTTAACAATGGATTATCTAACACAATAACAAAAGCACAAACAGCAAAAGACAAAATAAATGGGACATCATAAAAATTAAAAACGTTTGTTCATCAAAAGACTTTACCAAAAAGGTGAAAAGACAAGCTACCAACTGGGAGAATATCTTCGGAAACCTTATATCCAATAAGAATCTAATAACCAAAATATAAAACTTTGACAACAAACAAAAATAAAATTAACCCAATCAAAATGGGCAAAGGACTTGAACAGACATTTCACTAAAGAGGATATTCAAATGGCCACCAAACACATGAAGAGATGATCAATGTCACTAGCCATCAAAGAGATGCAAATCATAACCACAATGAGATACCATTTCACTCCCATTAGGATGGCTTAAAAAAAAAACCAGAAAATAACAAATGTTGGCAAGGATATGGGGAGATTGGAACCCTTATCCATTGCTGGTAGGAATGCAAAATGGTATAGATCTTGTGGCAAACAGTGTAGTGGTTCCTCAAAAAACTAAAAATAGAACTACCATATGACCCAGTGAATTCCACTCCTAGGTATATACCCAAAAGACTTGAAAGTAGAGACTCAAACAGATACTTGTACATCAATGTTCACTGTAGCACTATTCACAATAGCCAAAAGATGAAAATAACCCGAATGCCCACCAACGGATGAATGGATAAACAAAATGTTGTACATACATACAATGGAATACTACTTAGCCAGTAAGAGAAATGAAGTCTTGATACATTCTATAACATGGATGGAGCTTGAAAACATTATGCTGAAATAAGTCAATTACACAAGGACAAATATTGTATGATCTCACTTATACAAAAAGACAAGTACAGGCAAATATATAGAGACCAACGTTTTATTACTGGTTACTAGGGGTGGGAGGGAGGAGGGAAGGGAGAGTTATTGCTTATAGAGTACTGAGTTTTAGTTTAGTGATGGAAAAACTGCACAGATTAAGGGTAGGTTTGCATAGCCAATTAATGTAATTGCTGTCAATAAGTTGTACATCTATAAAAAGTTGTTTGATAAATATATTTACAATGACAAAAAAAAAAGGGGGTAGCTGCCTCAGCTGCTTATGTACAACCAAACACTTTGTGGATTTGATTCCTTGGTTTGGAGGTTTAGGGTCATAGTTTCATGGGACATCCCAGTTAACTGGCCTAATGATGTATTTAATGCTTCTGTTCTACCTCCTAGTTTGATGCATAGTTCCTGGGGTCTTAAAAGCTTGCAAGCGGTCATCCAAGGCACGATAATCGGTCTATATTTGCCTGGAGCAACAGAGGAAGAAGGAGAGTCAGGAATAGGAGGAGAAAATGGAATGTGTGACCCACAGCCTCCATGAACAACTGCCTCCTTTACCATGAGACCAGAAAAACTCGATGGTGTCCGGCTACTATTACTGAATATTTGATCAAAGATTCTACAGATGAATCACGAAATTCAGAAAGGGGGAAAATGAAGACCAGAATATCAAATTCTCATGGAATGCAGATTTTCTGGAGCCATGGAGGCTGGATGAACCCCTGAAACTACTGCCCTAAAATAATCTTTAATCCTTAAACAAAAAATATTCCCTGAAGTCTTCTTAAAACCAAACAATAGTTCAGCTTAACTAGTAAAGAATGTCTGCCTTGAGCATTATGCTCTTTTAAGATCTATCTATAGGGGATGAAACTGACAACAATTTGAAAGATTAGATAGGAACCTTAGGGGGCAGTGAGTTTATGTTCATGGGGGAGAAACAACTCAGAAAAGGAGGGTGAGAATGGTTGCACAACTAGAAGAACGTAATCAATGTCACTGAATTTGTACATGTAGAAACTTGAATTGGTATATATTTTTGTTCTGTATATGCTCAACAACAATAAATTATTTTTAAAAAAGAAATCATTATACTTCTTACATATTTTTCTTTTATGCCTCTGCAAAGTAATTCATATATTTACTAGTTCAAAGTAAGGCCCCCTAACAACCAACCCCACTGTTTACCACAAATGTGCATTTGTTTTAGGATCAGTGTTACTGACTTCTTTGTGGCGCTACAGAATCTCTTTCAGACACTGGCTACTCTTCAAAACTAGTGTATGATTTTTTTTTTCTTTTTGGAGGGGATAGTTATAAAACAGATTTTAACCAACAATAGCACCATCCTCTTAAGTGAAGCTTGCTACCATTGGTGATCCATTTGAAAAGGCCCTTTCCTTATTCACCCTGAACTTTTCAAAATATTTACCTTATAAAGGTCTTGGCTAATTCAAGGGGGAAGAGTGGGTAGGAAGGGAAAAAATAAGCACAGTAAGCGGGTGTGGTGTATCCAAAAAAAGAGAACTGACCATGAAGCAAAAAAACTTGGGTATGAACCTTTGCTCTACCACTTATTCCCGGTGTATTTCTGAATCTCAGTGCCCTCATCTATGAAAGGACAATAATATCCAACTCCCTGAACTGTGAAGATTAAGTAAATTATAACACAGATGAAGTATCTAGTCCAAAGTGTGTATATAATAGGTACTCAAGAATTTCTGCCTAAAAGTAGACTGAGTAACACGCAGCTATATGTAAGCAGCATCCACAAATGCACCATAAACCTGGACTGTGGAGAGATTGTAACTGAAAACACAAACACAGGTGTTGAAAGTCTTCAGGTTTTCCTTTTGCTGAATGTTTAAAAACAGGAAAGGATATACAAGCACTTCCTGGACTAATTATTTGCACTTCATGGTAGTACTGAAAGACCACCAGAGGACACAGTACAAGTGCCCTGCAGGATCACAAAGTACCAATTGTGCGGGCAATGACGCCGGTGGCACTGCTAAGTCCTCTGGCTAACATAAAAAGTCACAACATCTCACAGGCTTTCTTGCTAATAAATGCAGTAAGGACACAGAAATGAAATCCCAGAACGGGAAAAAGGTTTTCGAAAGATCTGCCTTGGGGTAGAACTATTCCTAAAAACAAGGATTATCGGCAAGGCAATTTCACACTGCTACTTAATCAAGAGTTCAGCATCAAGAAGCTTTTCTTATCTAACTTGTATTCATTAAACAAATGGATTAATTTCATCTGTTTTGTCCTTCAAAAAAATGGAGAATGCAACTCGTGTAAACTCTCACTCTTCTGACCAAAAAAAGTAGTTATTTAGAGATTATAAAATTTTGTGATTGTCCTCAACGTTGTGAACAAGGTCAGGCATTTTCAACTGACTAATACTGCATTCGACATTGAAAACTGGTGCTGGCAGTGTTTCGAGTCCTAGTTTACTTAAATATACATGTAATTACTATCTATCAGTCGCTCTATCTTACGTTTCCTATCGAACCAAGCGGTCTTAAAAAGGCAACATTTTTATTGAATCCAAGAAGTCTTTTTTTTCCTTGCAAAAAGTCTGGTATTAGGTTTCGTATTAAGGAAAACAGGATTTAAATCTAATTTATATATCATATCCTTACCTAGTATGTCCAGTTGCTGTAATCTGGTACAATTACCCGCCAGTTCTTCAATGTCTGTGTCACACACAGACCTGTTAGCCGTAAGAAAGAGTTTCTGCAAGTTCGGAAGCTGGCGTGCAAGTCTGGCGAAGCACCCGGTGCTGCTCTGCAGAGTAGGGCACCAGCCGAGGTCGAGCTCCTCCAGAAGCTGACACCCAGAAGCCAGTTCTGCTATCCCATTCTCAGTAATATTCTTACATCGCCACAGATCCAGGGTCCGCAGTTTTTTACACTTGGCTCCTATCATGCTAGCTATCACATCATAGTCCTCAATCTGGAAATGAAACAATTCCAATTGCTTACATTTTATGCTCAGAAATGCAAACTGTTTATACCAAGTTAGAACATTCTTAATCATCTCCTATTGTTTGCTTCCATGTAAACATACCACATTCTCCTTGATACACATTGGCCCACGCATGTTCACAGATCTGCTTCTATTTCATAAAACAGCAAAAGTAATCACTTACTTAAATATCCATTTAACAGAACTCCAGACAGAACACATTAATGAATTAAATCCCAAAGCAGTCTGAAACCCTCAGTCTCTCATGAAGAATTTGAGGATTATGCATTGCTCTTTTATGCCTATTATTTTGACCTTGCTGCTGCTCACTGATGGGGCCTAATTTCTTCTACTTTATACATGATTAATAAACTTTGGTAGGTACACAAAATCTCTCCGACAAAGGTGTGCAAGTTGGTAGGCTCTCAAACACTATGTAGAAATCCGTAGTATTAATAAGGATAGCAGTTTTGGGTTAAATGAGGCATTTGGGGACTGAATATACAATAATAAAATAATTTAGATTATATTAATCATTGTCAGTTATTAGTAGGGCTCAATAACTTATCTCATGCTCATAGGATAAAGGTCTTCTAATAAAGGATTAAACATTTCAGTCCTTGGGTTTTATATGCTTTAACATTGTTTAAAGAAATTTAAAGAAACATTGTTTAAAGAAATAGGTTCTTCTAAGAAGTTCATTTGATGTTGTTATAAGTGGGTGTCAAAATTATCACCAGAAGTCAAGTAGAAACAAAATAGTAAACCTTTCCATTGATTATTTCCCTTCTCTTCTTCATTTGTTAATTCATTTATTTAACAAATTTTTTAAATGCACCTACTATGTGCTACACCCATCCAGATGTTGGGAAAAGCAGTGAACCAAAAAAAAAAATAAAGACCTCATTCACATATTCTGGGGAAAGACATACAGACAAATAAATAAGCAAAATTAGTCCAGAGAGTGATAAGTGGTGTGAAAATAATAAAACAGGGTGATGTGAGAGCCAACAGTGTCAGGATTTGAGGGAAGGGTGGTGGTTGTTGGCATCTCCAGAGAGGGCTTCTCTGAAGAGATAACATTTAACCCTAGAGCTGAATGAAAACACAGAGCCAGCCAAGAGAAGTTCTGAAGGCAGAGGAAGAGCAAGTGCAAAGGCAAGACTGAACTTGGTGCATTTAAGGAACAGAAAAAAGATCGGTATGACCCAAGGGTGGTGAGGGAGAAAGACAGGCTCAAGGGGGGCACAGAGTTATGCAGGAGCCAGGCCATTTATGCCCTGGAAGGAGTTTGGATTTTTATTTTAAGTGCTACAGGAAGTTAATGGAGAGTTTTAAGCAGAGGAGTGACATAATATGATTTACATTAAAACAAAAACCCCCTGGTCGCTGTCTGGAGGATGGACTGTGGTGGCTAAGAGTGGAAGAAAAAGCCCAGGCAAGAGGTCTGCAGTAGTTCAGAGGAGAGATGATGAGAGCTTGGATTAAGGTGGTAGCAATGGAATTGGAGATACAGAAAGATTTGGGGATCTAAATTGGTGTCAGAAGCGAAGATGGAAAGGGTAAAATCAACACTTCCTAAGTTTTTGGTCTTCAGCAACTGTGTGAATGTATGGTGGCATCATAGAGAAGACTAGGAGAAATAGGCTTGGGGTAATAAAATTATCTACTTAAGTGAGTATACCTGGACAACACAAAACTGTAGCTTTGATAGTTAGTTTAGCCAATTAGCTTCTTTAGAAAGAAGCAATTAAAATCTTTCTGTAACCCATGATTCTGATTGTGTTGAATTTGTATCAGGGAAATCTCAGGGGCATATGGGCTAATTCTCTATCAGCATAATATACAGTGAGAAATTCCTTCAAGAGTTTTTGTTGTGAAATGTTCACAGCATTATTAAACATACCAGGCACAAAGAAATTCAGGGCTGGTTAAACAAGAATCAAACCAAGTAGTTTTTACTGGATTGAAGGCAACATATCACCCCCTTACTAATTACAATCCCCTTCTGAATCACATAATTACACAGAACTCTTTTTTCCCTCAGAGATTAGATACTTTTCACATTTATTTTCTCATTCATTATCACTAATTACAAAAGAAAATGACATATGTCACAGAGGAACTATCACCAAGAAATTGGGTGACTTGACCAGGATCACACAATTACTAGGAAATTTAAGAAGATGTAAACTAGGCTTTACAATTCTGTAATTCAGCCAACTTTAAATTACTTTCAGGAGCAGTAACCAATAGAAATGCAAATTATGTATGTAATTTAAAATTTTCTTGGTCATTTAAAAAGTAAAAAAAATACAGATAAAAATAAGTTTAATAATATATTTTATTTAATCCAACACCCATAACATTATTTCAAATGTAATTAATATAAAAATATTGATATATATTACATTTTTTTGGTACTAAGCCTTCAATATCTGGTGTATATTTTACACTTACCTTACATTTCAATTTGGACTAGCTACATTTCAAGTGCTCAACAACCACATATGGCCTAGCAGTAGGTACCATATTGTATAGCGCAGACTTAGACGCTGATTATTAAGTTAGGGTATTATGTATGTTCTTTATTTCCCTTTCTCTTAGCCTACCAATGGGCTACTTCATTGTTTTTCCTCTTTTCCTGGGACTAACTGGGTAGAAAAGAAATACAAAGCTCAATTCATTAATGTGACTTATGGGTGCCACAATGGTTGAGCACTCAGCTACCAACTGCTAACTGAAAGGTTGGCAGTTTGAACCCATCTAGCAGCTCCGCAGGAAAAAACCTAGCGATCTGCTTCCATAAAGATTACAGTCTAGAAAACCCTATGGGGCAGTTCTGCTCTTTCACATGAGGTTACTATGAGTCGAAAATTGACTTGACGGGACCTTACAACAACTTTTATTCTGATTTTTATGTAAACACGTGGTGGCTACCCAGAATAAAAACTGTATTCTTCAGCTTTCCGTGCTATCAATTATATCATATGATCAAGTGCTGGATGATAGGATATAAGCCTCAAAAGGTATGCAACTTCTAGAAAATGTCCTTAAGTGTCCTTTTCTCTTTCTTATACTCTACTGCTTGCTTTCCTGGAGCTCTATTTTGAGCCATTAGGTCATATTATGATCTTAGAGATGGTGGTAGGAGTCCCTGTGTGGTATAAACGGTTAAGCACTTGACTACTAGCCAAAAGTTTGGCAGTTTGAACCCATCCAAAAGGGCCTTGGAAGACAAGCCTGCAGATCTGCTTCTGAAAGGTCTTGAAAATCCTAAGGAGGAGTTCTACTCTGCACGCATGGGGTCACCATGAGTCAGAATCAACTTGACAACAACCAACAAAAATAACAAGGATGGTGGAACAAGCTAGAGGTCTGGGTCTCTGAAGACTCTCGGGAGTAGATCCACCTTTTCAACCTGAACCACTCACCTCCAATGCTTCATTTATATGAAAGAGAAATAAACTTCCATCATATTTAAGCCACAGTCATTTGGGGTTATTTTGATCAATGGCTGTTGAACCTAATTCTAGCCAATATACTTGCCTGCGAATTTGCTAAAAGATTTGGTGGAAGGTTGGAATGAATAGTTAAAGCAAGGTTCTGATTACTTTTGAGTTTTATTATCTATTCTTTCACTGCTTTCTATTACTGTGGATAAAAAAAACTTTAAACCAAAGAGATGATCAACTACTGAAAAAAAGAAAATTTTTTTTTTAATTCTTTCCAATCCAAGGAAAAATGAAATTCTCCAAAGAGTCCTACCAAAAATATTTATGACTCTGACTAGAATACCTAGGTTTGCTACTGATGGGAGAGTTATCTTCAGAAGTTCTTGTCACTGCAAATCCGTCAAACTGGCACTTGTGGTGCAAAGATTAGTTTCAGAAAAAAAAGTGGCACAACTAACTCAGTATCAACATCGTATTCAATACGGAAAAAATATGCCATTTGGAGAATGACAGAGAAGACATGTGATAGGTCATAATCACTGTGCAAAATCATCGAAGCACTCTATGTGGACAAAAGTTTCATAAAAATCACAAATCTGAAAATTGTTACTATTTTGATTCAAAACTAAAATACCAAGTGAGTCATCTGTCTTTTACTCAACAGAAAAGCTGAGAGGTAAACTAGTATTAAACTATCAACCAAGAGCTCTCTGTCTCACTGTTCTGGTGAACCCTGGACTGTTGTGACCAGTATTTCTATGACAAGTATGCAGTGCTGCCCTAATTATGACTTCAGTAGTGGTAACAACAATGTTAGCAGTATTTTTGAACTTCGCCGTCCATTCCTTGAAACGTCATTCCCACTTCTGGCAACATGCTGTTCTAGGCAGAAGCACCATGCTGTCCTGCCACAGCAAAGATCCGAAAAACTAAGCCAAACAGAGAAAACAGCAATCCTGAAACCCTAAAACATCAAATGAAGAGATAAAGAACTCAGCCAAGCACCAAATGGAATAAGAAACTGACAGAGAACAGAGAGCGAGGAGACATACATGCACAGGTCCCCTATCAGCTAATGCAACACGGATCCGCCATCTTGGACTCCTATCAGAGACCAGCAAACAGGAGGTACAAGAAAGCAGCTTCACAGAGCTTCCAGCAGGAGACAGAATAACCGGTAATCAGTGATATACGCTTTCCCACCCCCCACCCCTTCTTCACCCCCACTTAGCCTCCTATGCTTCCTGCAGCCACAGTCTCTTGGCCAGGAAGCACCGGCTGCTTGGATTCCACCTGCCCACACAGGCCAACTCCCTGAGTGCCATTTGTTGGCTGCTGGGGTTGCTTTTTGCCACTTCTTTTGATTTCTTCCTTAACTCTCACCACCTCACCCACCTTTCACTTAAATACCTGGCTCCATGTGCCATCTCTGCTTCTTCCTGAGGGGCTGTGGAGCTCTGCTCGAGTGTGGAACTGCTTCTCGGTCCGAGCTGCCATGCTGATGGGATCCCGGAGCTTTTGTTTGTTTGTTTT